CTGGCCCCTGCGGACCGTCCAGGGGACTCACGACCCTCTCTGCCCCTCCTCAACATGCAGGGGCCCGCTCTCCCGTCACGCACCCATCCCTTCCCTGCTGTCCCACCACTCGCCTCTCGAGTATCATGTATGCCATCCCATGCCTCCAGTGAAGGTAAAATGTGCACTCCTACTTTGGGGGTGCGTGTTTGTAATTCACGGAGACTGCGTTGGGCCTGTAGACCTCCCTCTGTTTCTGTTTTTGCTCAGAAATGATCATTAAAAAAAAAAGGTTCACCTGTGGTTTCCGCTTGATGAGTGTGGGATTCCGTATGGATGAATGGCACGATTCAGATTCGAAGGGTTGTGCTAAAACCTCAGGTTGAAATGGTTGATTTGTTCACTTCTCCCAGTGCCTCTGTCATTCCTCGGTTTACATATTTTACCCATTTATTTTTAGGTTCAAATGTACCTACATTCGTTCTATATTTCTGTTCTATTGTTTTTACCAGTATTTCTATTTTGTTAGGAAATGAGATTGATAATTCCAGCTTTCTTTTGGTTCATACTTGCTTTTTATGTTTCCTACCCTTTTATTTCCAACCTATTAGTGTCCTTTTGTTTAAAGTGTTATCTCTTGGGGCACCCGGTGGCTCAGTGGGTTAAGCCTCTGCCTTCGGCTCGGGTCATGAATAAATAAATAAAATCTTTGAATAAATAAATAAATATAATAATATATTATTATTATTTTATATATTATATAATATATAAAAATATTATAAAAATTATTATAAAATTATTATAAAAATTTATTATAAAATATAAAAATATAATTATTTTATATACTCATATAATATATAATAAATAAATAAATAATAAAAATCTTTGAAAACAAATAAAGTGTTATCTCTCACCAATCACATATTGTTGGATTTTTTTTTTAAGATTTTATTTATTTATTTGACAGAGATCACAAGTAGGCAGAGAGGCAGGCAGAGAGAGAGAGAGGAAGGGAAGCAGGCTCCCCACTGAGCAGAGAGCCCAATGTGGGGTTCGATCCCAGGACCCTGGGACCATGACCTGAGCCGAAGGCAGAGGCTTTAACCCACTGAGCTACCCAGGCGCCCCTGGATCTTTTCTTTTAAACCCAGTTTGGCCCTGTCTTTTTTTTTTTTTTTTTTTTTAAAGATTTTATTTATTTATCTGACAGAGAGAGATCACAAGCAGGCAGAGAGGCAGGCAGAGAGAGAGGAGGAAGCAGGCTCCCGGCCCTGTCTTTTAATTGGCGAGTTTGACCCATTCTCATTTATTGTGAAGGTGTTTATTGTATAATTACTTTGTTTACTTATTTATTTTTATTTATTTATAATTTTTTAAAAGATTTTATTTATTTATTTAACAGAGAGACACAGAGAGAAAGAGTGCGCAAACAAGGGGAGCAGCAGGCAGGGAAAGAGGGATCCCCATTGAGCAGGGAGGCCTTTGTGGGGCTCGATCCCAGGACCCTGAGATCATGACCTGAGCCGAAGGCAGGTACCCAACTGACTGAGCCACCCAGGCGCCCTGTATAATCACGTCAGTTGTAAGTTCTGTCATCGGGGCTAACTGTGCTTGCTGTTATTAAGTTAGTTTATTTTGTCACCTCATTTAATATTTCCTGTTCACTGCACATTCTTCGCATCTATTTTTTTTTCTCTTTTCCTGTTTCTGCTATGCAGCTCTTTCTGCTGGTTTATGCTCTGTTTGGGTTCTCACTGCGGCTGCCCTGGAGCCCTTCCTGTTCACTTTCATGGGATGATTTCTTAAGCTTATTTTTGTCTCTTCCTTCTGACGACATAGATGTCTCAGCGCGTTCTCGCCGCCTTTCATCTCCGCCCTCCCCATCTCTTGGTGCTGGTTTTAATCTACAGCTTCAGTTCTAGATTATCAGTAGATTTCCCATAGATTGTAGATTGTAGGTTTATTTTCTTTAGTCATTGTTTTTTGGAGGAAAGTAACTTGTTTGTAATTTCCGTCTCTTTTCTCCTGTATTTGGGTCTCCTTTATTTGAACACGGCCTCCAAGAGTGATTCCAGATTCGATTTTTGATGGAGTGTCTGAAGACTTTATGTGCCTGAGAAGATCTTTATCACATCCTTACACTGAAGTGATAACATTTCAAGTACGGTTATTTTCTTTCAGTAGTTAAGGGTATTATGCCCTTGTCTTCCCGAATTCAGACTTGTCTCTGAGAAATCTGATGTCACTTGAGATTTGGGATTTCTCTCTTGCCCCTGGAATGTGTGGGTGCAGGCTTGCCTTCTCCCTCTCCCTTTGCTGGGGGGCTGTCTGGGGCCCCTTTACTGAGAGTCTCACCGTGCTCTGCCCCTAGGGCTCTCACCATGCTGTCTCCCTTTCTTGGGCTTCCTTGGGTAAGTTTCTCCTCTACCGCCTGTGTCTTTGAGAGCTTCTTTCCTTCTCTTTCTCCGGGAGAGTTTCTCCATCACATCTGCCTCCCTCTCTTGCTGTTCATTCCTTCTATTTCTTGGGTCAACAATTATGGTTTGATTCCCGACCTTTCCAAGTCGATGACTGTCCTCTATGAGTGTCTGTTACTCTGTCCTTGACTCTGGTGTTGGTTAGCCCTGTCCCCAGAGGTGGACATGGCCAGTTGGCCGGCTGTCTCCTAATGATACGAGTATCAGGCCATGAGTCTTGAGGTGGTCAGGTCTGGTCCAGGGTTGTGGGGCAGGCCAACCTGGAGTGGGGAGGGGTGAGCCCGGGGGTAGGCTGAGACCCCACCCCTCCATGCCAACCCCATGCCAAACCCCTCCCTGTTGGTTGTCCTCCCTGGCTCGCTCCTGTGTTGGGAACTTAGCTTTCATGGGAGGGTCAGTGGCCGTCCTCTGGCTTGGGAGGCCAGTGTGGGAAGGAGTCAATGCCCTGTGGTGCATGTTTCCACTGTTCCCCACTGCACTCAACCACCCTGTTTCTCCAAGTCTCAAAGCTCCCTGCCCCCATCTGTGGCCTGGGGATGGAGGCTGTTCCTTCAAGTTTTGCTTCTCACAGTCAGGGTCTTGCTTCCACCTTCTCTGTGTGCGGTTGACAGAGCATTTGCTCAGTGGAGGCCTATTCTGAGGGTTTACCTGTGGGGTTCAGTCCTCATGGTGCCCTACCAGGTAGGGAAGCCATTGTCCCCATTTTACAGATGAGGAAATTGAAGCCTGAGAACCTCAAGTACGGAGGAAGACAGTGGGGAACCAGGACTTGGACCATGATCAGGCTCTTTGTCATGAGAGGAACGAACCAGGCATATGGTCAGCACAGAGTGGTGACAAAATTACATTGCTATCCATTGCTTGCTTTTGATACAAAAATTCACAACTCAGGAATGATCTAAATGTCCACAGGAGAGAATTGCCATATCCAGTACGGTGCACCCCTATGGCAAGCGTTACAATGGCCTTGGGTGTGGAAAGCATATGTGACCCACGTTTCTAAAGCACAGACAGGCACACGTGGTTGTTTAAATCTGTGACTCCAGAATAGAAGGACGGACGGGGGTTTGACCCTGGTTCTCCCTGGGTAGGGGGATGTGCGTTCACCAGGGCAGGGAGTCACCTCAGGCTCGGGGGAGATGACTAGGAGCATGACCTCAGTGGTTCTTGTGGAGGGCACCAGGGACCTGCCACTAGGACCCAAATGGCAGTTAGGAAGACCAACAGAGACACCAAGTCCTGGTGTCCCCGCCTCCAGGGACCCCCCCCCCAGAGGGAACGCAGGTAGCCCTGCAGACCCAGATGTACCATCAGGGGACTGCTCGCTTCTGGTCCCCACTCTTGACCACTCATCAGCACGGCCTTGGACAAGTCCTGCCTCTCTGCGCCTCAGCTTCCCCTCTGTAAATAAGGGGTCTGGGGTCTACTCTTTCTTCAGGAGGGGGGCTCTGTGGTTTCCAGGCCTGGCCGGACTTGCTTCCCACCGCCCGCCCTGGCCATCAGCTCCCAGGAGCCTCCACCCTTTCCCCACTCCCCACCCTTCTGAAGCAACTTCCTGTAGATGAAAGACATCACCTCTAGCCTCCCTCCAGAGGCCCTTGTCACCTGAGGCAGGCTTGACTTGACCCCACCCCAGTGACCAGAGGCTGTGCCCCCATGGACCTACCCCCTCCTCATGGTCCCCCTCCGTCCTCCATGCTCACAATTGTCCCATGACTGTCTGCCCTTCTCTCCACACTCCAGACTATGACTACGGTGGGGGGGGGCGCGGGGGGCCAGGGCTGGGTTCCCCTTCCACGTCCCCCACCTCTCCTGACCCTTATCTCGATGCGGGGCTCAATCCCGGGACCCTGGGATCATGACCTGAGCCGAAGGCAGAGGCTTTAACCCACTGAGCCACCCAGGCGCCCCGGATTATGTCAGTTTTGTTTTTGCGGTTTTGGTGGGAGATTCCAGGGCGCAGGACAGGGGTGGGGGGTGGGCAGCATGGTCTGCTGTCTCTCAGCCCAGAGTCTAGGAGGACACCCCACAGCTCTCACTCACAATGGGGGTGCCTTTTCCTCTCCCCGGACAGCAAGCAGGTTCCCCAAGTTCTCATTGCCCCCCTTCCAGCTGGAGCACGCCCAGGGTGGGGCTCTCATTCTAGACCCCAGGCCGACCGCTGCCAGCGCCCCCCTCCCACCCCCACCTCATTCTGTGGGGGAGGCAGGTGAGGAAGGTGAAGGGGCTGAGGGCTGGCTGAGGGGGAGGCAGGTGAGGACGGTGAAGGGGCTGAGGGCTGGCTGAGGGGGAGGCAGGTGAGGACGGTGAAGGGGCTGAGGGCTGGCTGTGGGGGAGTGCTCTGGCTGATTTGCCCCTTCTGCAGCCCCCCTGCAGCCTGGAGCATGGAAAGTGCCCCCTTGCTCCTCCCCTTCCTCGGTGGTCCCGCACTTGATCACATTAGCAGCAAGAGTCCTAGAAGTTGTCTGGGGAGGGGATCAGTCAAGCCGTCCCCCTCCTTGGCTCTGAGCTGGGTGAGGAACAGATAGATGCTGGAGTCAGAAGGGGAGAAGAGAAGCTTTATTTCCGGCAAGCCTGAGTTGGGGTTGGGACTGGACTTCCCCTCCCTCTTGGCCCTCTGCACCCAAAGAGAAGCTCTTCCCGCCGTGTGGGGGAAGGGCAGCCAGCAGCAGGACACAGGCTTCCTCCCTGGTGGGCCCAGGGTTCCAGAACCAGCCGGGCAGGGCAGCGTGGCAGGCAGGAGGTAGGCAAGGAAGGCTTCCTAGAGGAGGCCCCGGACGCCAGGACGCTGGTGTGACCTTGGTGGGTCAGGTGGTTTTCTGTGAGCTGTGCCTGGGCAGAGGGAGGCTTGGAGAGGGGCCTGCTGGGCTCACTGGTACTCATTGGGGGTGCACATCCTGTTTTGGCCTCCATAGGACATGTCCTCGTACACCACACATGCTGAGTTCTTGTCCTCTGTGCAGCACAGTTTCTTGACCTGGAAGGGAAAGCCTGTCCTCTTTGTACAGGGCCCAGCTCTCTCCGGGACACCCTCTTTCTTCAGCGCACACCTGCTTAGGAAGCTTTTAGACCCTTGAAATGCTGCTGGGCTTTGGGGCCTGCGTGAAGTCAGTTCACAAGGGGCGTTGGGCAGCCCCGAGGTCTCCTGAGCTGCCCCAGGCTGGGGGCGGGGGTGGGGTGGGATGGGGGGGCAGTGGCAGGGAGGTGGAGGATGAAAGGGACCTTGCCCCAGGGACCTGGGGGGCTTGTCTCAGGGGGACGTGGAGCTGGGCAATGGCAAGTGAGTGACCAGGGCAGAGCTGACCACTTCTGGCACCTATCTCTGTCACCCCCCAGCGCATGTTCTCACCTGCCCCCAACCTCACACCTCCAGACTCATGCACACGTGCTCACACTCACACAGCCACATACATGCTGTCCCCCATGCTCTCTGAATGTCTGCCTGGACCCTCCTCCCTCCCCTCAGTGGCTGTCACCCTCTGGGGGCCCGTGCCCATCCCTGCTAACTGCACCAGTTCCTGGGTTTCCCTCCCACCTCGGACCCTGCCACCTGAACCCTCAAACTTTCAGGGACCCCAATGAGGGGGTGGACAGGTCCTGGGGTTTCTCTGGGGCTTAACCTTCTCCTTCCCGCCCTGATTTCTTAGAAGGGCTGGCTGACAGGGACACAGGTGATATCTGGGGGTTCACATTGACCTGTGTCTTCCTCAGCACACACGCTGCCCCTATCGCCAGCCCGAAGAAGAAGCAGCTCACAGCCAGGACCACAGGGAAGGCCGAGGTCAGCTGAGACTTCTGGCACGTGTCTGCTTCCTGGGACACTTTGTCTGTGAAGAGGAGTGGAGAGGTATGTGGCAGGTGGTGGATTCCACTCCACGAGAGACTTTGGGGTTCATGGAGGGGCTCTGGAGTGGGGGGATGGGCAATCCAGGGTGCTTCCTGGAGGCAGTGGGCTCCAGCCGGAATGAATATCTCAAGCAAGCGTAGAGGACACTTCGGGGCAGACAAGGGCAGGTGGAGCCCGGCCTACCATGCAGGGAGGCGGAGTGGGTCCCAGGGTGGGCACGTTCCTTACCTGTCACCAGCACCAGGGTGCCAGGGCCCCAGGCCTCGTCATCCATGACCGCCTGGCAGACGTAGGCCCCAGCGTCAGCTAGCTGCAGACGGCTCAGGGTGATGGTCAGGTTGTGCTGCAGCCCGGAGAAGGCGACACGACCTCGGAAGCTCTCGTCTACCGTGGGCTGCTTCTTGTCTTCATAGTAAATCACGCTGGTGGACTTTGGCCACCTTTGCTTCAGGTAGACCCCGGCCAGGGGCCCGCTTGTGGAGCAGGTGATGTTGATGGAGCCCCCCTCTGAGGCAATTGTGTAGGGGGGGGAGCTGCCGCACCTCTGCAGGAAGGACCCCCTGCTGTCACCACAGCCTGGCCTGGGGACAGGGGGCAGGGACCCTCCTCTCTGCAGGGCACGCCGGAGGGACAGAGGGGCCCTGGGACAGCCCACTGTGGCCGTGTCACCACAGTGAGCCCTCTCACTGGATGCTGCTCCGGGGCACACACACCTCAGTGGCCGGACACGAACACTGATGGGGCCACACGGGGAGCCAGCTGCCTGTTACCTCTCTGCACACTGGGGCCACAGGGAAGCTCGGGCTGCAGCTCCTTCCTTCCAGAGCAGCTGGTCCTTCACCGAGCAGCGACCACTTCTCCCCGTCCCTACACCTTCTCCTTCTCTTAACAGACTGTGCCCAAGATAGCCGGACAGGCTGTGCTGTCTCCTTCTCTCTTTCCTTTGCTGGCTGCCTCAGTGTCCCCATCATTTCCAGACACCTAGAGCTGGTGGCTCTGTGGGGTGGGCACATTGGCTTGTCTGAGGGACGCCCAGAAATGTCTTTGTCTGCCCAGCTGGAGCCCAGCCAGACCGCTTCCTGGTGCAAACATGAACCTTCTTTATTTTTATTTTACTTTACTTTATTTTATTTATCAGAGAGAGAGAGAGAGAGAGAGAGAGAGCACAAGTAGGGGAGCAGCAGATGGAGAGGGAGAAGCAGACTCCCCACTGAGCAGGGATCCCAACATGGAACTTGATCCCAGGACCCTGGAATCGTGACGTGAGCCAAAGGCAGACGCTTCACGGACTGAGCCACCTGGTGTCCCAGTGAACTTTCCTTAATGTAATCCAAGCATCAGCTTCTCAGCAAACTAAATTCTGGAACTTCCTTTTTCTTTTCTTTCTTTTTCTGCTGTCTCCCCACCCCTCCCCACTATTTCCATCTTACTGCAGAACTTTGTACATGTATCTGTTTTAAAAAGCAAACTAACAGGGGCACCTGGGTGGCTCAGTAGGTTGAGCCTCTGCCTTCGGCTCAGGTCATGATCTCAGGGTCCGGGATCCAGCCCCACGTCAGGCTCTCTGCTCAGCGGGAAGCCTGCTTCTCCCTCTCTCTCTGCCTGCCTCTCTGCCTACTTGTGATCTCTGTCTGTCAAATAAACAAATAAAATCTTTAAAAAAATAGAAAAAAAAACAAACTAGGGGACAACATTCTCTCATAACCAAGGTAACCTTGCTAATTATGTAAAAGAGAATCGCCAGACATTTAAGTAAAGAAAAAGATTCTGCACTCAGACGTCACTGGGGGTGGGGAGGGCTTCGTGGGGAGGTCACGCTCAGGATCCCCAGACCACCCCTTTCCCAGGAAGGAGCATCCCCAGGTGGGGGCACAGTGGGGGACGCGGTGAGGCAGGGCAGGGCTTACCTTGGGTGGCCAGAGCCCCGAGCAGGGTACAGGCATAAGAGAGGCGCAGCGGGAGCAGAGGGAGCTCTGGGGCCATGCTTGCCGCCACCCTGCCCCCCCGCAGACCAGCGCCGAGGGAGAAGCAGGGCCCCCGCTCACAGCTGGCTGAGACTCTTCCTGTCTGCAGCACCCGCCTGCGAGCCACCAGCTCTGAGGCACCGCCCCGAACCCCCAGGTAACGGCAAGGTGGGAGGCGGTGGCTGGTGGTCCCGGCACTCCAGGAGGGCTTCCTGGAGAGGTGCCACCGGCAAGGGGAGGTGCGGAGGGCCAGGCTGGGAGGGGCGGTCCTCACCCCCTCTCACCCCTCCGCACTGTCCTGCTGAGAGGCCAACGGGTGACCAGTTGTCCTGGTCCCCCACCCCCCCGCTGTGTCTCCACAGGCCCGAGGTGGGGGGCAGGACCAGCAGAAAGCCGGGGGAGACCCTCGGGGGGTGGGTTCAGGGGCCGGATGCCCTGGATCCTCTGGGTCACCTTCTGTCCAACCTGATTTATGCCTAGAAATCTGGCCTACCATTCAGTGACCCCCGCGTTGTGGGGGCGGGGCCCGGAGGGCCCCAGGAGTAGGGCGCGGGGCCCGGAGGGAGGGGCGGAGCATGGAGGCAGGGGCGGGGCCTGGAGGAAGGCCCCAGAACTCAATCTTCTTACAGAAACCCGCGAAAACACAAGCAAGAAGGAGGAAATGAAAACAGTGGAGGACCCAGGCCCAGGACTTGCCTGTAGGTCTAGGCCCAAGTCAAGGGAGCAGGCAGGACCTCCAGCCTGGGCTCTCCGCGGTGAGGGAGGGGCGACCGCCCCCAGCAGCCTCTTTGGATGCCTTTCTGCCTTGTTAGTGCTTTAAGACAGGAAGCAGCTTCTTTTAGTTTTTGTGTTTTTCCCCACCTAAAATGACACTTCTCGGGTCATTTGATGATTTCTTGGTTGATTTACTTTATTCATCGTAAAGATTAGCACTATGGGTTTTCAGAGCACCGAACGTATATTTTATTTATTTATTTTTTAAGTAGGCTGCATGCCCAGCCTGGAGCCCATCGTGGGGCTTGAACTCATGACTCTGAGATCAGGACCTGAGCTGAGATTAACAGTCCGATGCCTAACCGACTGAGCCACCCAGGTATCCCCGAATGTGTACTTCAGAAAAACCTGTGTGTCCCTCTTCAGAATCACACGTTGTGATTATGACGACATCTGACAAAAGGGTCAGGGACGGGGAAGGGCCTGCAGGTGGGTAGGTGGGGGAAGGGACCCCTGCGGCTGGGAGGTCGGGGTGGGGAGGGCTGTGTGGACACCTGACTGCCAGGTGCCTCTGTCCGCCTCCCTAGCAGAGGGGCTCTGGCTACAGCGACCCCTCGTGGTGCTGGTGGCGCTGGAGCTCCGCCTCTGGCCTCCTTCCCCCACAGCTTGACCTCAGGACCCGGGGCAGGGACGCCAAACTTGTTCTTGCCCAGGGCCAAAGACAGGAGTGGGCCCAAATCAAGCTAAGACCCAAGCTGGGGCACCTCCAGGGTACAGCAGCCTGTCGCTTCTGCACCTGAGGCTGGAAGCCCAGGCCCCAGGCGCCAATGGGGCAGAGAAGGGAGAGGTTCTTTGAGGTCAAATGTTTTAGATTTCTTCCCCCGCCTTTTTTTTTTTTTTAAGACTTTTTTTTCTTTTTTTAAAAGATTTTACTTATTCACTTGATAGAGATCACAAGTAGGCAGAGAGGCAGACAGAGAGAGAGGAGGAAGCAGGCTCTCAGCCGAGCAGAGAGCCCAATGCGGGGCTTGATCCCAGGTCCTGGGATCATGACCTGAGCCGAAGGCAGAGGCTTTAACCCACTGAGCCACCCAGGCACCCCAAAGATTTTTTATTTTTTTGAGAGAGGGAGAGAGAGGAAGAGAGAGAGCATAAGCCAGGGGAGAGGCACAGGGAGGAGCAGCTCCCCGCTGGGCAGGAGTCCATCCCAGGAACCTGAGATCCTGACCTAAGCTGAGGGCAGACACTTAACCACTGAGCCACCCAGGTGTCCCTGAGATTTTCCCATTTTTGACCAGAGAATCTGGCGGGGCTTGGGGGGGTAGTCGGGGAGCTGAGACAGCTGCGGGAGGCTGAGGTGGGTGGGGGTCAGCCTGGGTCACACCCTCTCCTCCCGTCCCTCCCTCCTCTGCGCCGGCAGAAGCCGGCCTCTGGGGCAGAAGGGCTGAGCGGGTCTCCTGTGCCAGAGGCAGGGATGGAGGCCTGTTTCTGTCAGCCGCTGCCTGGTTCATTGGACGGGCGTGTCAGCTGGATGAGGGGGGACACGTGGGGCTCCACTCCTGAGGGGCGGGTTTCGGGGGCTGGTGGCCTCAGAGTGGGCAGGACTCCTGGGGTCGGCTCTGGATTTTAGGCCCGTTCATCACCCTCCTCACAGGCCCTCCACCTCCCAGTTCAGAACCAGCTCTCCTGGGGAGGGAAGCAGGGATGAGAGCTGAGGCAGAATGTGTGGGCGCACTCGGGTCACGTGTGCTCACACGCATGCAGACACACCCGCTGGGCCCCGTGTCTTAGGTCTCCCGTAAGGAGCCGGAAGTCCAGCCTCTGTGCTGCCCCCAGGGTGTCCTGGGACAAATGAGTGCTTTGGGGACCCAGTGGGCCTGACTGGGAGGGAGGCACCTGCCACTGCCAGCTGGGGTCCTCTGAGGGAGGGGCATGTGTCTCTCTGGGCCCGAGGTGACCCCCCAGCCCCACCAGCCCACAGACTAGGTGCAGGGCCTCAGACCTGGGGTCCTGAGTACTTCTGGGGGGAGTAGCATGGGGGGCCTGTGCCTTTGGTGCAGGCTAACACGCTGAGCACCAGGAAAAGGAGGCCGACGATGATGCTGCTGACCACGAGGGCCACCGTGAGCGGGTCTCCGGCCTCGGGCGGGCACGGCGTCTCTGGGCCTGTGGGAAGTGGGGGCAGGGGGGCACTTGTTCACCTATGAGGAGCCACTTCTTGCCTTGAGCGCACCCTTGAGGGAGACATCACCCCCATGGGCCGGGGGCAGGGGTGGGGTGTGCAGGCTGGACAGGGGTGCTGGCATGGAGGATGGGGACAGCCCAGGGGGACCTGGGTGTAGGGTAAGAACACCTACCACAGGGATTTGCAAAGAGCAGACGTCCTCTCTCCTTCAGGTCTTGGGACACTGCCCCTGATGCAGCCCCCCAGGCCCAGGAATCAGATGAGAGGAGGGCACCAGGAGTCCCCGAAGGGCTCGCTGGGTCCCTTCCCTGGGCTTGGCCAGGCCGGAGGCACCATTCTCAGCCACCACACAGCCCAGGGAGACTGTGATTGGAACCAGTGGGGTGGTCGCTGCCTGTGGGTCTAAGCAGTGTCCCGGAGGGGATTCGCGACAGGGAGCGCTCCTCCAAGTGGAGGGGAAGTGAGGAACCACTCACGTGAGGGCAGTGGAAGGGGGACGGCAGGTGGCAGAGGCATGGGTGTGGACTGGTTGGAGGGGAGGCCTTGGTCTGGAGGGGACCGCTGGACCCTTTAGGTGGACAGTGTCCAGGGCAAGGCTGGGGGAGCGGGACCGGCTCAGGGAGAAGTGGAGGCCTCACGGGGCATCTGGGTGAGAGCAGGGAGGCGGGCCCTTCGGGGGCAGACGAAACTCTGCAGGGGCTGCGGGTGGAACCTCTCCCCCCGAGCTGGTAGGGAGGAGGTCTGAGGCAGAGCGGGAGAGACGCACGGCCTCGCCTCCTCCCTGGACAGGGCAGCCCCCGCCTGACCCCCTCGTGGCGCAGGTCCTTGGAGGAGCGGAGGCTGGTCTTGTTTCATTCTGCTCTGTCGGAACCCAGGCCTGCGTTCTCTGGGCCCCATCCCGGGGCCCTGGGAACTTTTGGGGGGAAAAGAACGGCTCCCCCGCCCTTCCCAAATACGAAAGCCCCTGGGGTGGGCTGGGGGGACGAAGATGCTGTCCTCACCTGAAACGTTCAGTGTGGTGACTCCGATATTTCTCTGCAGACCCTGCAGGTGCCACTTGTAGCATCCGGTCTGGGAGTCGCTGGCGTTGTCGATCACCAGCTGGGCCACGCCTCCCTGCACCCGGAGCTGCCACCCTTCCCGGCAGAAGCACCCCGGGGACCGCACACGGAAGAGCGGCTGGACACTGGCCCCGGGGGTGCCCAGACCAACGGCCACGCTGAGGAAGGGGTTGGAGATGTTGCAGCCCATCACAGCGCGCTCCCCTCGGGGCACGGACACCACTCCTTCAGTGCAGGTGGGGTTGTCCCATTCTGTGTGCAGGGGACAGGTCACACATGGGTCATGGCGGGGCCTCAGGACGCTCACTGACCGCCCTCCCTGGGGTCGAGGGAGGGACGGTGATGAGACGAGGGTCCCAGGGACGCCCAGGCCCAGCTCAGGGTGCTGGAGGATGCAGGAGCTCCGCACCCACCCATCGGACAGATCAGCACGTGTGCCTCAAGCGGGAAAACAACACCGAAGTAAAAGCAGGGAGGCTGTGTGTGTGCATGCGTGTGTGTCCCCATGCGCAGCTAGTGTGGCGTGTCACCAGGCCCGGGCATGTCCCCCAGAACTCCCCTCTTTGCAGGCAGATTCTGGGGAAGGAGGGCGCGCGCACTCTGTGCACTCACGGGAGTGTTGTGCAGTCGTGGCCAGACCTGCAGCCGCCTCACCGTCCCCGGGCTCCTGGGCCAGGCGTGCACACCCAGCTCCACAAAGAAGGTTCTCCGCTCCTGCAGACACCGCCACCACCACTGTCAGAAGCCACGAGCACGGGCCCCAACCTCCACCTGGCCTGCTGGCCGTGGAACCCGCCCCGCCATCTTGGGAGGCCAAGTCCTGGAACAGTCACCCGTCGCCAGCCTCACCGCACAGTCTGAGCGAACTCTGACCGACAGGGACCCAGAGCCCCGGCACACGGCAATAGGGGCCTCGTGCAACATGAGCTAGCCGGCCCAGCCCTCCTGGTCCTGCTGTGGCACTTTCCACCAGGGACCAGGCAGAGGTGGACAGATGCCAGACAGCGGCACGAGCTCTGCGCACGCCGTGTGCTGCATGAGCCCACAGTTCACCAAGTCCACATAGCGTGGCAGGTGCCACATGTGGCCCTGTGCCTGGGGCCTTGGGAGCCCACAGCAGAGGGTGTGTGAGGTGGAAATTCTGCAAGACAGGCACAAGCCTGAGCAAACCCAGAGTGCGGGGACCGTGGTCCCATCCCAGGCCCCAGTCCCATGTCTGCACCTTGTGGAGCTGGCCAGGGTGGCTCAGCCAGCGGGCACAGGCCAGCAGGCACCAGAGTGGGTGGGGGGGGGCTCGATTCGGGGAGGCCGTGGAGCCGGCAGGAAACTGCCCGGGTTCCAGAAGGTGGCTACGGTGGCGGCCGGTCAAAGCTCCGTGGATGTAGACCTCCACGTGCGTGTCTGCAGCAGGAGCCCGACCTGGTCTCCCCGCTGTTCCCCTCAGCAGCTGGGGAGTTTGTCCTGAGGAAGGGTTTTAAAATGCCTTCTCTGCAGATGTGGTCTACAGAGGAAAGGGACACGACGTAGCCATCAGAAAGGATGAAATCTTGCCATTTACAAGTGCTCAGTGCATAAGTCAGTCAGAGAAAGACAGTTATCATATGATCTCCCTGATACGAGGAATTTGAGAAACAAGACAGAGCAGCAAAGGGGAAGGGAGGGAAAAACAAAACAAGATGAAATCAGAGGGAGACAAACCGTAAGAGACCCTTAGCCACAGGAAACAGACCGAGGGTGGCTGGAGGGGCGGGGCTGGGGGGCACTGGGTGACGGGCACTAAGGAGGACACGGGATGCGATGAGCACCGGGTGTTGTGAGCAACCGACGTGTCACTGACCCCTAAAACTAATAGTTCACTCTGTGTTAATTAATTGAATTTAAATAGAAAAATAAAATAAAATGCCTTCTCTGCATCTTTACAAAATTGTCAAAGTGTTGCATGAACACACACCTGGCACAGAAATTCAAACAACTCTGAGGCACCCCCTGCCCCACCTACAGAGAGGCTGCGGGCGGGGGGGCCCCAGGCCAGACAGAGCCCTCCGCGCTGGTTGCTGGCACCGTCACCACGCCCACGAAGGGGGCTGACTCTGGCTGTCAGATTCCGGCAGAGCTGGAACCGGGAGGGGCCGGGCAGGACTGCAGTCATCTGTCCAGTGCCTGGGAGCCCCGGGCCTCTGCAGCTCATAGGTTTCCCGCCGATCCCAGATGTGCTGATGATCCAGCCTAGGGGCACCCCACCATGACCGCACCCGGGGACAGCCGGGGTGGTCACAGATGCTCCCTCCTCCTGTGATTTCTTCCACCGGGTTGAGGTGCCCTGGGGTCCGGCATCTACTCTGCCCTCCCCCGGAGCCATGTGCAAGGGGCCGGCCTGATTCTGCAGGACGGAGCGCACCCCAAGAGTCCGCATGTCTAACGAGCTCCCAGGTAATGCTGGAGCCACTGGCCCAAGGAGGGATCGGGGACCAGAGCAGAGGCAGAGAACCCTCAGACTTGTCCTGCTGCCCTTCCTCTGGCCACAGCACTTGTCACTAATGGGCCCGACCCTCTTTCCCATGGAAATTGGACACACTCTTAGCCATCCCCATACGCGTTCTGATGGTCATCACTGGGCGCTGGAGCGGGTACCCCCCGTCTGCCATCCGTGGGAGGACTTGGCTTATCCCACTGTGGCCCAGGAGTGCTGGGCCAGCCCCTTTCAAGATCATGGTCTCTCCCTGGGGCCTGGGTCCCACTGGGCCTGATGTGGATCTGCTCCTCCCACCCCTGCCTCCCCCTCCCCAGCCCCTGCTGGGCCACCAGCACGCAGGGAGGCCTCCTGAGACTTACTTCCATCCTGAGCACTCAGGAAGGTGACTAGGAGGACAACCCACAGCATCTGGGGAACCGAGAGGGGGAGTGTCAAGGTCAGCATGGCCAGGAGGACAGGGAGGCAGGCCTCAGGGGTCTTGCGTCCTCTTCATTGGTTCTTGGGACACTCCCTGGAGGAAGGAAAGCCACAGGATCGGAAGTCTGTGGGCTGCAGCCTGGCCAGGAGCGGGTAGCAGTCCCGAGCTCCTCCCTGACCAGCTGTGCGCGGAGGCCAGAGACCCCACTAGGCCTCTTCTCCTGCACCTTCTCTGTACCTTTATAGTGTACGCGATGCTGGCCACTGACAGACAAACAAGAAACACGGACAAGCCAGGAGGGACGTCACTGGGAGAGAGCCCTGCTGACAGCACCATAATGACGATAAAATGTGCAAAACTGGCCGGAATTGTGTTCCTGTGGACACGGGTCATGCCCACTCGGGATCTGACACCATTCCTAGACTGCCTTGGATGCCCCTGCCCTCCCCGCCCTCGCCCTTTCCTGGGCTGGGGGCACCTGCTTCCTTCGAGACGTCCTTAGGGGATGGGCTCTTATCAAGCAAAGGAGCCCTCCTGTGGGACTCACAAGGCGGCCTTCCGTCTCCTTTCACACAAGCGCCCCCGCGGGCTTCTGTGACCCTCTTGACCTTTGTTAATGTGACATTTTTCTGATTAAATTATTTAAAAGTATTTTATTTCATATATTTATTTTTAAGATTTTATTTTTAAATCAACTCTGCACCCAGTGTGGGGCTCGAACTCACAGCCCTGAGACCAAGAGTCTCGCCTCCTGGCCACTGAGCTGGCCGGTCGCCCTTATTTAAAAGTATTTTAAAATTGCTTGCCAGGCCATTTCTTGACCTTTTGATTAAAAAAATAATAATAATAGACTTTTTGTTTTGTCTTTGGGCAGTTTTAGATTTACGGGAAAATTGGGCAGAAAGTGCAGAGTTGACACGTGAGAGCGCTGTGGTGGCACACGCGTCGCTCGTCGCACCTGCCGCGGCACGCACCTCGCTGTCCGTGAGCTGGCACACGCGTGGGCGTTGCCCGAAGTCTGTGCTTTGCATACCGCACGGCTCACTCGTGTGTCGAATGGAAGGGCTGTCTGGATAAATGCATAACGGCTTGCATCCGTCATCGTGTCCCTGACAGAGCTGTCCCCGAACCCTGTGCTCCAGCCGCTCATCCCCTTCTCCGGGCCCCTGGCAACCCCTGGTCTTCCTCGTGTCTCTGCAGCTTTGCCTGAATTCAGCTGTTTGGGGGGAATGCGGCACCAGGGCCAGCAGCACTGGGAACTTTGAACTTAATGGCCTCCAGACACTTGGGGCCACTGGTGACCAGGCCCAGTCCTGACCCCAGTCAGGGGAGTGGGGCTGGGAGGAATGATCCCAGCCCCACCAGGGCCACAGAGCACCCCCTTCCGTGCTGCTGCGCACAGCTCCCCAGACCCCTGGGGGCCTGAGCAGGCAGGCGTGTCCTCCCACCTTGACCCCACCAGCCAACCCCGGGGTTCATGGCGGGTCTCCTGGTGTGGTCTTCTGTGAAAACACGCTGATCTGGGGGCCTTGGAGCAGCGAGAGAAGGCCTGCCCTGCCCTGCACAACCACTGAGAAAGGAAAACAGCCGGATCCAGCTTTTGAAAGAAACATCTAATTTGAGGTGGGAAGAGTTTCAACAATGTTCAGTGCAAACCACTTGCTGGGCTCCTGGCCTCCAGCCCAAGGGGCTCTGGCTAGGCGGCCACACTCCTGGGGAGGGTGGGGAGGGGACCCTCGCACAGGCTGTGCCCACTGGCTCAGGGCTGGCCCGAGCTGGCTGGTCCTCCACAGAGACAGGTAAGGAGGGACAGACAGAAGGACGGGCATTCGGCCTGGCTGATGGATGGAGGCTTTCCTTCTCTCAGTCCACACAGGGCTCTGGGCTCCCGGGGGCGAGAACCTGTGCTGAGCCAAGAGGCCCGTGTGTGGGTGTGTACCCCTTCTCCCAGGGTCCCACACCCTGAGTCCCCGTGGCTGAGGGTTTTGGTTGATGCGCTGTATGTGCCTGGCATCTTAGGAAGCTCCTCGTTGGGTCCCCACCCACTACAGGGGGGTGCCGTGCTGCCGCCGCCTTCGCAAAGTCTGCCTGCATTTCTGGGGTAGAGCATCTCCTCCGTACGGGGCTGTAGGACTCGTGTTTTAGAGAAACAAAGTGCCACCCGCAAGGCAAACGTGCTCCTGCTCCAACATTTCTCCCTGGACTGTTCCTGGAGCAACAAGACTCTACATGTTTACGTCTTCCATGTTTTCTTTGAAAGTCACGGTTTTGTTAAGTGAAGTGTTACTTGTTTGCTGTTTTCAGGTGTCCTTTTCCAGAGACCTCCCAGACCGTGGGGGATCCACGGGCACCGAACTGGACCTCCACGTGCGAATCATGAATCCCCTCAAGGCCATTGTGCAAGCATCGCGTGACAGGGTCCACGCTTTCTTCCAAGAAAGTGGGCTGCGCCCAAGACATCCCACGCGTGGCACCCCCGTCCCGTCCATCCCGCCTCTAACCGTGGGCGACTCGCCCGGGACGCCGCTGCTCCCAACGTAGCCTCGTCAGCTGTGTTCACCCCGGGAAGGCAGGCTCTCCCCTCTGCTCTATCTTTCCCTGCAGGTTTGTTTCCCCACGAGAATATTATTAGCATAACCAAAATCAATTTTCTTCTTCAAACCAGAACTTGCTGATGAGTGGGGAGGGGCGTCGGCCCGGGTCCCACTGGAATGAATCCGCTCTGAATAACACAGAAGACGCAGACGTTTCACAGCTGGAGGCGATCCCGCCGCAGCCTTGCTGGTTTTGATGCCTATCAGCCATCGCCAAGATCAGGCACGCACAGCTCATTCCCATTAAATGCTGCTTATGTGGATGGAGGGTTCTAGGAAGAGGAATCGAAACTTTCTGTGGGTCTTTTCCTGGCACCTCAGATAGGATCTGCTCTGCTGTTCCCAAACATTATTACAAAATAACTTTGCTTAAATTAGAAGACACACATTTTTTTTCTTTCTTTCACCCCCGACAAAAATCTTCTGAAATGGGAAAACA